CCCCCATCCGTGTTTCTATCTCCCTGAAAGTCGAGCCAGACGGACACAGCCCTTCTTGTCCCGAGCCTCGGTGCTGCGTCCCTGCCCACCTTCCCTCTCCCACCTCGCTGTCCTGGGACAGTCCTGCGACTTCCTTCCGAAACTCTCCAGCCAAGTCCTCTGCGGGGCCGCTGCGCTGATTCGGCCTCTGTCGGGGGTTCCCGTCCGCGATCCTCCTGGCTTCCCAATCCCCCTCTCGGAGTCCCCCTCACTGCGCAGCCTGTTCCTGCCGCCTCCTTCGGGGTGGGCTTGGCAGGGCGCCGTGGCTCCGGCGTGCTGGGGGCGTTGGGCAGACAGTGGGCAGGGGCCACAGGCTGGGCCCCGACCGCCACGGGAAGGACACTTTCCTCCGGCCGTGGGCATGCAGTGCCCCGTGCACTGGCAGCTGCCCTCGCCTTAGGGCCTCCTCAGGGGGACGGTCCCTCTGTCCGGGGGAGTTCGGGGGCCTTGGCCTCCTGCGGCTGCAGCTCGGTGTGAGGACAGGGCTGAGGGTTGTCCTTCCCGAAATCCGCTGCCCACTGGGGTCCCCCTCGGGCTGGAGTGTCTCGGGAGAAGCTCTCGGTCCCCGGTTCCTCCCCTCGCCGGCGGCCGGCTGCGGCTGTTCCTAAGCTCTGGTTTCTCTGTCTGCTCAACCCCATCTGGCTCTGTCATGCACAAGTTTCTCACAACCGTTTTGCCCAGAGACACATCCTTTTGTGTCTCCCATGCTGCGAAGGATACTTCTTTGCATTTTTTCTGTCATGAAGAGGATGGGCGCGGGCGGGGAAGTGTGGGAGGTGCTCCCGCCCCGCGGTGCTCAGGCGCACGCTGAACTCGCGCGCCGTGGCTTCGTAGCGCGCTTTACCACTCAGCGTCATAGCAGCATCTTCTGTTGCCGATCGCTGTTTCACACATCCCCTCTGGTGGTGACGCGGCCTTTCGCCGTATGCAACGACCACCATCGAACTTCTTACTGTCACACACTTCGTCGCCAGGCCATCAATTCTACGATGTCTGTTTTTCACTCGGACAATCCTGAAGCTGATGTGTCTCCAGCCACAGCCTGTTGGAGTTTGACGTGTGCGTGGGACGTAGTGTCACATCTCATAACTCACTGTGTCTTGGAGTCAATGGCACACCGTGGTTTCTGAACACTGCCTGTCCCACGCACACCACGGCCAACAGCCTGGGGGTTCCGATCCCCAGCGTCCGCCTTGGGAGGGGCTGGTTCCTGAGCTGGCCGTTCCCCCCAGGGATTCTCTGGCTGAGGCCACGGTCCAGATCCCAGCAGGCGGGGCCCGGGCCCAGTGGCCTGGTGGGATGGGCAGTTGCTCAGACGGGACTTCTCCTGGGGAGACCTCACCACCCTTCCCCACTCTGCAATGGCGTCTCCACACTAGATTTCAGCAATTGCCTCTGTGGTTTGTTGCTAAATGGTAGCTCTAGCCAAGATAGTCAATTTTTCAAATTTTTTTAAAAAGAGACAGGGTCTTGCTATGTTGCCCAGGCTGGCTCAAGCGATCCTCTTGCCTCTGCCTTCCGAGTAGCTGGGACTATAGCACAAGCCACCACACCAGCTGAAAGTAAATTTTTAAGAGTAGAAGGTGATTTGTGAAATTAAGGTCCACGAAAACTTGGCTCTCTGGCTTTGCAACACTGCCCAGCCGGCTGGACCTTACTCCGGCAGGACGGAAACACTTCAGATGCTTGGATTCAAACCCAGCCCCTGCTGTCCGCTAGCTGTGCAGTCCGGCCGCCCCACCTTCGCGGGCCTCCGCAGTGCCAGCTCGGCGCCCTACTTGGCACTCCGGAGGGACCGGCCCATTCTGTGGGAGGGCATTTGGATCACAGACACGAGCCAGGCCTTCTAGGAATCCACGCCTGGAAGTCCAGGAAAGGTCCTGCGTGGCCCAAGTTCTCCACATGTTTTCCCTTTCCTTGTCTACACCAGCACCATTTTGCCACAGGTGGGCAGGGTCTAATCCTGGGTTTGCACTGGAGAGGCCACAGAACACACTGGCCAAGCTCACCCCCTGCCCGAGGTCAAATCGCAGTCGTCCTACTAGGACAATGCGACCCTGTGCGAATAATTTAAGTGCCTCAGTTTCCTCATGTGTACCATGGTTTGTGTTGAGGACTCGGTGTGGAGGGCGCAGAAATGTCATTCCAGAAACGTCAGCTAAGTGGTCGGGAGACTGGCCTCCTGTGCCTGCCCACCCAGCTGGGGCTAGGTAAGGGCAGAAAGGAAGCCTCGGGGACTGTGGGCGAGGCTGGGGGCCGGGCAGAGAGGAAAGACGAGGCCAGCCCGGTCTCCCCTTCTCAGGGATGCCAGACTCAGGAATCCACACGTCCTCAGGGGATGAAGCCCACTGGGGAGGGGGCTCAGGCGTGGGGCACCTTTGGGCCACCTTCTTTGGTTACCCCCAAGTTCTTCACTAGGTGACATCCACTCAGGTTGGGGAGGCAAGTGGAGCCTACTCCAGGAGTGGTGGCCTGCCGCAGACCCGCAGCCCCGGACGCGCTCGGCCATGCTGGCCTCCTGCTCCTGCCCGCAGGGGCCGGGTTGGGGGAGGAGCACACAAGAGGGTGGGCACAGAGTTCTCGGGTCCTGGCCCCTGATCCCGTGAGCCTCCACTCCCCCAACTCCCGTGCCCCGCGCCCCCATCTCCGTCGCCCCTGGTGCCCTGCGCCCCCGACCCTCCTCCCCTGGTGCCTCGTGCGCCCCCGACCCTCGCTCCCCCGCACCAAGTGCCCCGCGCGCACCCAACGCGCGTCCCCGCCGGTGCCCCGCGTTCTCCCCGACCTCTATTTCTCTGGTGTCCTGCGCACCCCCCGACCCCTCTCCCGCTTGGTGCCCTGCGCGCCCCCGGGCCTGCCACCCACGAGAGCCCCCGGTCCGCGCCCCCGGCCCCGCCAGGGTCGCGCAGGGACCCGCCCTGTGACGCATTTCCAACCGCCGGGAACCATGACCCGCCCCGGCGCGCGCCCGCCGCACGGGGCGCGCGCATCGTGCACGCGCACCGCCACGTGACCCCGCGCCGGCCAACGGGCGCGCCGGGATTTGGGGGATAAAGCGCGGCCCCGCGAGCAGTTGCGGCGGGAGAGCGGCGTGCGGAGAGCGCGACTCGCCCGCCCCGGCGCTGCTCCTGCCCGCCGCGCCTTCCCGCCGCCGCGCAGCCATGTCCGAGGAGAAGCCCAAGGTAAGCGGCCGGCGCGACCCGGCCTCCCGCCCGCCGGCGCTGCTGCACCGGGCGTCCCCCTCGCCGTGCGCGGCCCTCCCGACACCAGGGGACCGGGGCGCCGACCGGGACCCGCGCCCCGGCCACACGCGGCCGCCCGCCCCTCCTCGAACCTGCCCGCCCCTCCCCCGCCCGGGCCCGCTC